TTGGGGGCTGCGGGTCCCGAAAGGCGCTGTGGCGCTCGGAGGGGCGCGGGGGGCTCGGCACTGCGGAGGCGGCGGCACCCCCTCCTCTCGGGGTGAGGGGCCGGCTCGGCCGCTCCGCTGCCCCCGCTCCCTGCCGGCCCCTGAGGCCCCGCGGGTGTGGACGCGGCCGGGGCAGCGCTGGGCGAGGGCGGCGGCGCGGGCAGCTCTTCCCGCCCTGAGGAGCGCCTCTGGCTCGGGGCAGGACGGAGCGGCTGTCCATCGTCCTGGAAGATCCCGCAGCCTTGTAGAACCTTTGTAGGCCAGGGTTTGAATGACATAGGGCCCGTTTTCACTAGAGGGGAGGGCTGAGAGGTCTTGGAGACAGCGCCGCTTCTGAGGGTGTAGTTCCTTGCTTCCTGCCAAACGAGAAATAAGCAATTTTGAAATGTTTTCCTGAGTCCTGAAAGCCTCTTAGCAAAATCTCGTTCCCTAGATATTATATCAATGAGTCTTTATAGAATGGAATGTGTTTAGTGGGGTTATATATTTATATATAGTTCATGTTGTATACTGACCTGCCATGCTTAAGCAAACAAACTGAAGCTTGTTACAAGGAGGACAGACAACGTTGAAAGAGGGACCTGTTCTTCTCTGAATCTTGAAGGTGCTCATAAAAGATACGCCCAGACAAGGGAGACAACACCAGCACCCTATCTTGTTTAACACCTCTGTGAAAACCTTTCTTTGTCTAGCATCATGAAGAAGTGATTATAGCAAGTCGAACTGTGGGAATGTCTAGTTCAATAGAGAAGCAGGTGGATGATGTCGCCATAGAAATACAGGTTCTTTGCAAATGGTTGTGTGTATTAAGTAGCAATTGGTTCATGATATATTTGAATGCTGGAAATCTATGAGATTTATGTGTAAAGCCATATTCCAAGTGCCTCGGTTTGAATGGGACACCTCGTTGCACATGAATAAAAGGATTATTCTTACAATTCAGTACTGTGGGTCCTTGCCTTTCTGCTAGGTTGGAGGGGCCAGTTGTGAATTTTTGTAACAAACCCTTGGATGAATGAGCAGATGCAGAGTTTCTCTGTTCAATTAAAGTGACCAAGTGGTTGCAGAAGTGACTACTTGAGTGAGAAACAAGTGGTACTTTATCCGTGAATATGCAAAGACAGGAGAGTGATGGTTGCTGGCTCTGCCTTGCTGCTCTCCAAAGCTCTTGGGGCAACCATGGATTTGAAAAAACAATGGAAATATAATAAATGTCATCAGACAAATTTTTTTAGAAATGCATGTTCTCTAGCTGACAAAACAGTACATAAAAAAAGCTTGTCTCCATCCACAGCATAACTAAACCCTAAAAACCTGTAAAATGTAATATTAATATGTGCAGCATATTAGGGTGAGAACACTATTTGGGATATGTTGTTGAAAAAGGAAGCATTATTTACTGAACAGATATTAATAGAACAAGAAGCTCTACAGCGGTGTTTGTACACCAAATACACTGCAGAGGCTTAATGTATGAAAATTACTATGATTATCAGGTGTCACTTTGGGTATCCCGTGATTCAAGCTCCCTATAGATGGCAAAGGTTTGCCTTTTAACTTTATGTAGTCACCTTTTTTGTATGGAACATTTGAATTGTGTGTTGCATTAAGTAAATGGTACGCTAGCCTATTTACAGTTTGTTCCCAGTGCCCCCAGTACTGTAGTGTTGCTGCGTGAATGGCTTCTTAGTTTAGATGGAATGCTTACACATAGTTGTCAAGCTGCTCAAAAACTTAAATTCTCTGAAGAATTTTAAAATTTAGGTTCTTTTAAAATTTGGGGTTTTGAGGATCACACCTTTAAATTTAGCTACCAGAATTTTGCTACATCTCACTTCAAAGGATCTGTTGTGACTTTCCCAGAATTCTGCCACAGTTCTTAACTGGGACAGTGTTTGGTATGTATATCTTCCAGTAACTGGATCAGTTACTCTTAAAGTGTTCAAGCTGAAGTAATTCGCTTCAGTTTTATGTGGAAAACAATGTTAATCTGTTTTTCCAAATTATCTGTATTTATTATAAAACAAATCTATTTATCTTTTGTTACTTTTTCAGCACATGTTCTCATATATAAACTTTGTGGCGCTTTATTTTTATTTCTTGTGTTTTTTTCAACTTTTTATTCTAAGGCTTGTTAGTCAACTGCTCAGGTCAAGGATTGCAAAAACTGGGTCCAGCCTTGCCCTGTGATGCTGATACTCAGACTCTGATTCTGGACAAAAATCAGATCATTAAATTGGAACACTTGGAGAAATGCAAGAATCTGATGCAGGTCAGTGTTACTTGATTTGAAATTGTTATCAAATGGTGGTGCATGGATGTTAGCATCTTCTGCCTTCAGGCCATATTATATAATTGAAGTAAGCTAGACAGTTATTGTCTTCAGAGGAAAATAATGGATGGCTAACTAAAGTAGAAAGCTTTGTTTTCAGTGGCGGCCAGCAGTTGATAGTGGAGGAGACTTGTGAATTACCTGGGTAACTAAAAATGAGCTAAATAAATCCTAATGGGGAAGGGACATCATAAGAACACTTAGAAAAGTCACTGATAACTCAAATTTTGATACCTCTTAGCTTTTGAGTACACGAGCTTTGTAACCGTAAAAATAACTTCGTATTATCACTGAAAGTGCTTCTGGAAGCTGCTTGAGAACTCCTACAGACCAGCTACACTGAGTTGGCAGAGGTGGGATTTGTTGCTACAACAAATCTTCACTACACTGCCAGCTGGGTGATCATGTTACAGAAGTGTATGTCTAGTCAGGATTTACCCTTTTAAAAGTTAGTGGTTCACAGTCCTGTTAGCACAGGACCTGTTTGAGAATTGTGTGAAATACATTTTGTCCTCTGCCATATTGACAGTAAGTGCGATTTTACACCAGGAATGGGGCGACAGTTTGCACAATGAGTTGGCAATTCTGATATTAAAACCTTATTTTCATATGACACAATTCCTCATTCTTTTTCCTTTATTTAGCTACTGCTAGGAGAATTTCCTCTCAAGTTTGTGGAGTGAGCTGTGAGGACTTAGGTTCTTTGATCAGTAATTAATTTCCTGGCTCTTGGAGGTTTTTTGTCTGTGTTACTTACTTGAAAATTAAATATGTAAATTGCACAAATATCTGTTGGAGTAGATGTTTAACTACTAGAAGTAAAATCTTACTCTGTCTGCACAGTAAAAACAGATTCTTTTGTGTGTCTGTCCACAGTTGTCTGTAGCCAACAATCGTTTGGTGCGAATGATGGGTGTAGCAAAACTGACCAAGCTCCGAGTGCTCAACTTGCCTCACAATAGTATTGGGTACGTGGAAGGGCTGAAGGATTTGGTGCACCTGGAATGGCTGAATTTGGCAGGAAATAACCTTAAGGTAAAGTATTTAGTCTGTTGCATTAACCAGAATCTTGTGTTATAGAAATTTGGAAAATGCTGCAAAGAAATATGAGTATGTTTTGGTTGGAACAAGTGTTAATGTTTTGTGCCTACTGGCTTATGAAGTAGAAGAGGGCAGCTTTTGGAGTAGAGTTGTCTAGGAAAAAATAAAAGGTTGATATCAAAATGAAATGAAAATAAGGAAGTGATCTTCAAAATAGGAAAAAAAATTACTGTCTTTAAAATACAGCCGTATTAAAATGTGGTTTTTATTTTGTGTTACTTAGCTAGTGTTTTTTTTATCTTTCAAAAGAATTTATAGTTATTGATGCTTGGTTTTATTTAGTGGCTAAAAAAGAGTTATTGTGAGTAACTGACTTTTTTTTTTTTCTTTTTTTTTAGGTCATTGAACAAATCAATTCCTGTCTGTCACTTCAGCATCTTGATCTGTCAGACAATAACATAGCTCAATTAAGTGACCTCTCCAAGCTTACCTCGCTGAAGGTAGATGTTATTCTATCTCTGTTTTCATCATTCTTTACATAAAGAAATTTGCTTTGAAAATTGCTGCCATTAGACATTGACTATTTGAACACTAGTTCTTAGAGCATTTTAATTAATTAACTGTAATTTCTAGAGTGAGGCAGGTAAGAACTCTCTTCCTTGTTTTCAAATTGCAGGAGCCGAGGCAGTGATTTTTCTATAGGCACTCTAATGATTTTGATAAAGATATGGTGGCGATACCTTCTTCATAGCTCTTTGTTTTCTTTTCTCCTATCATGAATCAAGACAAAACATACTGTTAACTCTTCTGGCATGCACACCATAGAGAAAAATGTTTCCAGATGCATTTTTTAGGAATTGTGACCAGAAAGCCTTAATTATAGTTCTTTTGCCTGTCTTTTTGTCAGGTGATGCCTGAAAAATAAATCTGTGGGTTTTGACCATTCATTTCATCACTGTATTTTTATTTTATAGACTCTGTTGCTACATGGAAATATTATAACTTCACTTCGCACCGCCCCTGTTTGCCTACCTCAGAGTGTGACTGTTTTATCTTTGGCAGAAAATGAAATCAGAGACTTAAATGAGGTAATTTATAGAAGATAGATCACCTTGTCTTTAGGCAGACTGAAAG